AGGGAAAAAAAGATTTGGATTCTTTTAACTTTATTGCCCACTTATTAGATCGGGTTATAGCAGTCAATATTTGCGAGAAAGTAGGTTGCTGCAAGTACTGAGGCTCCAGGGCTGCACTTTAATATTAGTAGATTATTCAGACTCTCCTGATTGAGAAAAAAATCTGCATCATTGTTTTTTATTTTGTCTTAAGTACTTTCGCCTACAGAAGATATTGTGAATTTTGAATCCTTAATGTTCTCAGCAAATAAATAGGTTTTGTCGTCGTTGTGGAAAGTAAACACTGCTTTTTTGATGAATTTATGTCCCTTTGGTTCTTATAGTTTCCCGGCTTTAAACACTTCAGTTTCCCCTATAATAATGTAGACATCTCACTGAAAATGGACATATTTTAGATTCTGACGTCACTGGGCTTTGAAGTCGCGTTAGTATATCAAAATAATTTCTCAGCTGTTTAAGCTGAACTTATTCCCAGTTTAATCACGTAGTAAACTTACTTAAATGAGAGAAAAAAAGAGAAAGTTCTGTCATTGAAGCGGTCTACACATTCTTGAAAACATTGCATGTCCACTTGATTGGTGGGCACAAAGCCTTTTTTGAATGTAAGCATTTTGGGTGTACCCTACCAAAATTTATCTGGCTTGTCTATTCTGACAGTTGTTGAAGGATTTGTAATCCCTTTATCAGTGACGTATTTTTATTAAACGAAAATTCTGAAAACCGTTGATAATGTGCTCAGCAGCTGATCCTTACCTTTCGGTTTATTCTTAACATTTAGAGAAGCCTAATATTACTTAGAACAAAACCTATAATATAGCAGGTGGATGATTATGCATATAATGTTATGAAATCTTCAAAGCATTTTATACCCCAGTTATCGTGCAGATATGTGTGATAGCCACAACTAAAGTTTTATTCTAAGGGGAAAAAAGGTGTTAGAAATTCTCATGATTTGCTAAAGCCTTTTAGTGGACAGATAATTATCATAGCTTTTATAAATTCTTAAATGGTTATTGATTTTGACCCCAGTTGGTACTAATTAACAGCAGGAAACTGATGTGACTTTTCAACTATTTTCTTGAAAATTAGTTTTAAGTTGCCCAGCTTTTTCAAAATACTAGTGTCAACTTGTTTATTTTTATGAATACTAAAAAAAAGTTTGTTAATAATGTTGTACGCTTATTCCCTTTAACCATAGAAAACGTAGCCAAGTGAATAACAATGATGAAC